TTACAAAATACATTTCAAGCGACATCTGAAAATAATCTCTAGATGCACACATTTATAGGTTACGAATACATTTAAAAAAAAACTGTGCAATTAATGAGATTCCTGTTTGTTTCTTAATTTTAATTTCAATAATATGTTTTTCATACTTATTTCGTTTCTAATATCTGCTTCATACCTTTCAAATTATTATTATTCATTCATCGTTTAAAAGTCGGATGCTTCACATTGAAATATCAAACTAATAATGAAATGTGAAATTATTTCTGTCAGGGGGGTCTTTGGTACAATTGTTGGCTCAATGTTTGCCTAATGTTACTACTGATTGGAGTAAATGGTATTTCTTCTTCTGTGATGAAAGAGTTGTTCCTTTTGATAGCAATGATTCTACCTATGGAGAGTATAAGTTGAAGTTAATTGGAAAGATACCAGTAACCGAAGAGCAATTTATAAAAATTGATCCTGACCTGTCTGGTAAAATTTTCAACTTACTTTTTCTTCTTTTGTCAATGAATTTGTATAACCACACTGTGGTACTTATAGCCGAAGATGCAGCAAAAGATTACATTAAGAAGATGTCCGTGTTTTTTCCACCTGATCGTGTTCCATGTTTTGATGTACTTCTATTGGGACTAGGTCCAGATGGACATACATGTTCTCTCTTCCCTGATCATAAACTTTTGAATGAAGCAAGCGTATGGGTCTGTCCTATCAACGATTCACCTAAGCCACCTCTATCTCGTATTACTCTTACTCTTCCTGTAATAAATAATGCAAAGAAATGCATATTTGCTATTACTGGATCAGGCAAAGCTGAAATTGTGAAAGTGATTATCTCATTACCATTTCGAAGAGAGTAATCTTTAAATTGTAATATGTACATAAAGTTGCATTTTTACTTTTAATGTTTAATAACATTTAATATCTTGCAGAGAGTTTTGCAAGATAGAGAAAATTTACCAGCTGCTCGTGTTCAACCACACAACGGAGAATTGTATTGGATCTTAGATGAAGGTGCTGCAAAGTTTGTAGAGAGAGCGTAAATAGCATTCCGTGAGATTAACTATGATATTCCATGTTAACATCAATTCCTAATGCTCGGTAAATTTCTTGAGCTTACTTTTATAGTATATCTCACTTAAGATAGCTTTCAAAAAATGACATTTTTTTGTAATTTATTGCTCAAAGTTAATATTTGTTTATTATGATGTTATCATAATATCATTTGAAATATATTAAATTCTGTTATGCATTTTAATATTAATTTCTGATATTTTACTTTCTTGTTTTTATTTGTATATTTTTAATCTAATATAAAATACAATAAGATAAAACATTTTTATGCCATATTACTAGCTCGTTATTATTAAACTGCAATTTATATTTGTCATATTATTTGGATAAATTTAAAAAATCATAAAAAATGATATAAAAAAATGAACTTTAAGTAACATGCAAAAATACTAGGTAAAATGGTACATCTTTCAAAAATATATAAACACTTAGCAATATTTGTTTTTATTTAAATATAACAAATATAAAATCGTAAAAATGTACGATTACAAATACATTTGACGATGAATTTGAAATAAAAATGAATTAATTTCAAGAGAGATCCAAACAAAAATTTAGAAATCTAACAAACATTAAAATTAAAATCATTACAAAAAGAAAGATACACGTAAAAAAGTGAATATATTTTTATTATGTGTATCATATCATAGTATATAATAACGTTTAATAACAATTTCTATTAGTATCTAGTTCTGTATCATAAGAGTTAATTCCATTTAATTCTTGTATCATAAGAGTTAAAAACAATCAGCAAAATATTACTTTAAATTTTTATATGATATTTTATTTGCAAAAGAAAATATCCTTTTTGATATATCTGTATAGAAGAAAATAGATAGATATATAGTATAAATGTAATATATATTCATTTAGTAAATTGTAAGACATTCTTTGGTAATTTATATTATAAAATTAATAAACATAGATAAATAGGTATACAGCAAAATGACTATTTTTATACAATGCATATGTGTTTGTATATTGTCATATGACATATGGAATTAATATCGGCAGGAATATTATTTGTAACATGTACTTAATAGATAACATTTGCTATCAGTCAAATTCAGTAATCAGTATTAATTACTTAGGAACTAAAGTTTTTACAATAATTTAATAAATTATCTTTATTTTTTTACAAAAATCTTATGTGTACAATGGATATCAAGCCATGAAAAGAACTAAAAAAAAATTCGCATTTCTTTCACAAGACTCAATTGTCAGTTTCGTCGTAATATATATCAACTCCGTAATGTAAAACGTTTTAATTTCGCGTCAAATTATCTTTTTCATAGTCCTTCCAAATTCATATGAATTATTATGAAAAATTTTACTTGAAAATAAAACGAACGTTCTATTGGCCTAAAAAGTAATCGAAAATATTCATTTAGTTAAATATTTCTATACAATATATTTAATTTAAATACTAGAATTATCCTAAAAAAATTTTATAATTTTTTAACTTCATTACATTTCATCTCTTGTACTAAAAATGCGATCGAAAAAGTAAAAGGGTGTCTTTGATTTTTAAGAATATACATGTACGATATCTAACGCTTATCCGAGATTGAATTGCAAAACTATCATTCTTTATCATAATCACTCAACACTCACGATTATATTTATGATTACTTTGAAGAAAGAAGTAAATAGGCACGAATATAATGCTATATCGTGATGCACTTCTTCGGGATCTAAATATACATATTTATAATACATATAATATATTATATATAATTTGTTTACAAGATTCATTAGTTAGAGAATTATATTAAAACAATGCACGTAACAAATGTAATATCGAGAATAGAATATCGCTCATGGAACAAGTTTAACACATAAATTATAAGTGTGCAGTGTCTGCAATAACTCATCGCATAACACCTTGACAATAGTGGATACTATTGTTATTATTATTATTATTACTACTGGTATTGTTATCATCATTATGATTAAAAATACTGGAAGAGTTACAATAAAAATTAAACAAATTTTTTTTAAATTTATAGGATGTTATGCATTGAATTATATTTCCAATTTAGCTTATAACCATACATATCACAGTAATAATATAACTCGATTCTTCTATTTGCAGAATATGTAACATTACGTAATGTATTATTAAGTAATACATTCCTTTATATTTTCATAAAATTACATTTTTGTGTGTAAATTACCTGACTTTCAAATCGTACGAAGAATTTTTTTTCTTCTTGCTTAACTATAACTATCAACTTTCTACTACCTTCGTTTTCTTCCCACTGAAAAACTGAAATTATAAAACATAATACTTTTTCCTTCTTCTAATGGTTTTTGTACTATCATTTCTATTTTGAAATTATGAATCTACATTTTTGTTCTTCTTCACGGAAGCAAAATATGAGTGTAAGTCATAACAATAAATACGATTAAACTAATTTATACACTCTTTGCGTTTACTCCTTGAAGGTTAATTAAAATTCCTCATGCTGGCCATTTATTATTATACTCATTTCCTTATATGAAAATTTGTTATAAATATGTTCTATATGTTCAATAGTATTATACAGTTGAAAAATATGTTTAAATAATCGTAGAAGCTTCGAGTTAACAATAAATAAGCGATATTACATATAACAAAAGGCAGGATATGCCGAATTGCTTAATATAGTAACCAACGACTGACTTGTTTGAATATTTTATGACATAGTTAAAGAATAATTTAGTTAAATTAATATCACCTAAAATAAATAATCATCACGTCATATTTACACCCAAAAAATCCCTGACGGTTTCATATACTATGTAACTAATCGACACGGCTGGTGCCACCTAAATAAAACAAATAAAAACAATGATATATAACTTCTGATCGTCGAAAATCAATCATTTGAAATTCATTTTAAATGATCATACATAAATCATTCCATACCTTTAAAAAGTTCGGAGTTAAACCTCTGTACAAACCGCGAATTCCTTCATTCTTAATAATATTCTTAAAAACAGCAACCATAGTATTAGGCTTTCCTGGCGACACATCTGCCTGTAACCGTGTTCTGACTAGTGCTAATGGATACGAGCACACTTGGCCGGCTGTGCTCGAAGCTGTTCCACATAATAATAAAATCCAAAAGGGTGGCTGTTCATTTTTGTCATGTGTTTGTAAATACCTATTTTTCAAGGTCTGTAACAAAAAAAAAAAAA